AAATTTACAAAAAACAAACTGTTGAAGAATTAAAAAGCGTTAATTGAATTTTTGTTTTATATTATCATTCTGTATTATTTTTTCAAATATTACAAAAATAAAAAACAAACTTTAATTTAGAAAATAACCAAAAAAGTTCGTCATATTTGTTCTGAATAAACCTTATAAACTTAATAAAATATGTAATTTTCTTTTAAATTAATTGAAAAAGAAAAAAGGAATATAGGTTTCGTAATAAGTATATTTATACTAGGTATTAAAATATTAAATATGTATAATATCAATACATAATATTTGTTAAACTACTAAATAAAGCACTTTCAGATTCAGATATAATATCTAGCAGTGCATGTGGGTACTCAAATTAATAAGCAAAAACAAAAATTTGAAATAATTTTCTGTTAATTCGTTAATATCATCAAATATCCCACTAGTATTTATAGTTCAGGTTTCCTTCCGATTATATTTTGATAGAACTATTTATGTTCATTTGGAATGAAAATGAACTGTACTTTTAAATTTTTAATTTTTTCTTCACTAATAGATTAGTGAAATGTACATACTAAATTGAGCTTCTTCAGTATGAACGTTGTCTATAGATTTCTTTTTTTCTTTTTCTTGGTCCGAAACCGGTTTTACCATTTTGCTATCCTCTTGATTCCATTGTTCCCATATTCCCATATTATATATTTGACTTACGCTTTCTTAATTAAACAATAATAGTAAAAGTTTAACAATAATAGCAAAATTTTAGCCCTCATAACACTTAACAAACACTAGTAACACTTTAAACTTCTAAAATATGATAACGGTTTTGCTAATATTTTGTTTTTTTTATTGAATTGTTTGTGGATGAAAGTGTCAAATGCGCACTTAACCCTTTTAAGAAATAAACTTCTCATTTTATTTGAAAACATTTATATTGTACGAGTAGGTTAAGTGATCTTAACGCCTTCATTTAATAAACAAAAGATTAAAATGTGTACTTAACTCTTTTTTTTATTGTCTAAATACCGTAAAACTTCATATTTCGAAAACGCGTTTTTGTAAAAGACGTGTAAGTTTTGAAAAGACTAAAGCTGCCAAAAAACGATTTTTGAGAAAAATGTCACTTAACTCCTTATTCTTCTAACCCCTTCAATTATTTACTCCTTCGCTATTACTAGAATATATTTTTTTAATAAAAAAATATATTAGCAGTTCTTTATTTAAAAAAAGAAAAACATATTTAGTAAAGACACTAACCGAAATGTTATCAACTTAAAATTGCATATGAAGAGGCGAACCTAGATGTTTTTTATGTTTTTAAAATAATTCCCAATGTCAGCTAAATTTCCCTTAAATTAATTTTGAAAATTCCGAGTTGAAAAAAGTGACATCTATTATCCAAAGTATTACATAAATTTTTTTTTTACAAAGTTTGCTTAATATAGCTGAGACTACAACTTTTTTTCCCTATTATACATATTCTAATTTGGTGATTGCGATGACGATTTATATATAGAAAATAAAAAAAATGGTAGATATTGATTGCAGCAAGATTGCTTTATAAAAATTTGATGATCGGCGTTTTTTTTTTGAGTTACCGTTGTTAAATAACTTTTCAGTAAGTTAAGTGACTAAGATGATTTCTCACTTCTTGATTTCTTAAAAAAAAAGTTAATTGTAACTATTGAAAAATTCTAGTTAGCAAAAACGTCTATTACTTGAAAAGGGAGACTGCTTGATGAATATTCGACTGATGTATGATAACTATGAATAATTTATTAAACATGCTTGTTATTAATTGGTTTCTACTTCAAATATCTTTCTACGGAAATTACTCAACTATTGTTTTGCACCTATAATAGCAATATTTAAACGGAAGCACAGTAAAGCATTTACACAAGTTAAATCCTTTAAATTTAACCTAGAACTTATTCTAACACAATTTAAAAATGTTCTTTTAAAATTTTGATGAAAAGTTGTTCTTTCACAAAAAGTGTTCGGAAGGCCGTGTTAATTAAATACATACATAGTCTGTATAGATTAGATTTAAAATATACAATGCTCAAAAATATACAATGAAATAAATTCATAATTTTTTATAAATATCCACTTTTTCAATAACTCTAAAAATTTCTTGAATTAATGAATTCCATATGCATAAATTGTACATATGTATGTTTACTAAAAATTATTATTGAAAACTGAAGCATTAGGATTTTTGTTATCTAAAACTTCATCTGTTTATTTCAAGTTCAGCTGATGTATAATTTGTTGCAACGTCAATTTTCGTACCCGATTCTTAATACACAAATTATGCAATGTGCGACGTATGATACGATTAATAATTCAAGGAAAACTTCCAGGTAGATGACGTAATGTACGTTTATTTAAAACACAGCGGAATTCACCTTTGCAATCCAAATTGTGAATTTTAGATTCTGATTTTGAGCTTGACTTTATTCGTTAAATACCAAATGGTTTAAATTACAGCCTTCTTTCGATTTACGTAGAGTAATTAAATATGCTTTAGGGAAATACTGTGCATCCTCAGAAAATAAACAAAAAAGGAAACATTATGTAGGTATAGGGTAATTTAAATGACAGTGCGCCACTCAAACAAATTCAATTCTATTGTGTAACTCCAAAAATTATTTACAAATAAAGGCATTCTATTTTTGCTCTTTATCAAAGCTAATTTTCTTCTATTTAGGAGAAACTTAAGATTCGGAAAATTATCAATTTATTTTGAAAAATACAAACAAAATTGCCGCTTTTGGTTTTTAGTAGTTTTATATGAGTTTCTTCAATGCCATATTTTCGCATGTGTTTTGCATAGGTTGTCAAATAACTTTACGGATGATTCCTTAATCAATTTCCAGTAAAAAACTGTGTGTGTGAAAGAGGGGAAGGGTTCCAAAAAAAAAAGTATCAAATTTTTCCTGCATATTAATGCTTATAACTTTGGAACTATGCGACGTAGAGTAGTCATCGGTGCTTGTTTTCCAGCTAAATTGATTGCTTTTTATTTTCGATCTCACAATTACAGTGGAGTCCGCTTATAGTCACACAAAAAATTTCATAAAAATGTGTAACTATAAGCATCATATGCCTATAAGCGTCAGTAGAAAAAAAAAATTTATAAATAAAACTCAAAACTTTATTTTTTTTTTAAATTTAATTTTAAATTAAGTACTTATATGATTATGTACATAAATAAAAATCGTCTTTTTGAATTACAAATTAAATTAATGACAAATTTTTGTTGTGGAAATAATGTACCTATGTATGTACATACACAAAAGTGACAGAAAAAAATATTTAAGTTACAATATTTGCCGCTACAAATTCGACAACAAATATTGTAATTAAACTATTTGCCGTAAAGTAGGTAGTAAAACTACTTACCGCTATATACGTTTGAGCCATAGTCTTCGAAACAAAGTTAGAACATTGGTTTGGTTTTTGAATTTTTTTAAAAATTTGTTTTATTATACCCTGCACTTCGTGAAGGGTATATTAACTTTGGTATGGAGTTTGTAACTACTTGAAGAAGTCATCTGCGGTATGGACATATATATATATTCTTGCTCAGCGTAAAATTCTGCGTCGATTTAGACATGTCCGTCCGTCCGTCCGTCCGTCCGTCCGATCGCACGATAACTCAAAAACGAATAATGCAATCGACACCAAACTTTCACAAGTTTTTTCTTTTGTGCTAAGGACGAACCCTATTGTTATTGGACTAAGTCGGACAACGGGTTCGGGTAGCTGCCATACAACTCCAAGAGTTTATTTTAAATATTTCAAAAGCTAATAAAGCTATAAATATAAAATTTTGTATACATGTGTCCAATTATATTCTACACATGTTCTAAAAATTGTAATGGGATAGCTGCACCGGTTCGGGTGGCTGCCATACAACTCCAATAGCAAATTTTTTATATTCGACAAAATAATAAAGTCAGATTCATGAAACTTGGCAGTCATGTGTCCAATTATAGGTCAAATATATTTTTGAAGTTTTAGAGGAATCGCTTGACAGGTTCGGGTGCCTGCCATACAACTCCAGAAGCTAATTTTTTATATTCGACAAAATAATAAAGTCAGATTCATGAAACTTGGCAGTTATGTGTCCAATTATAGGTCCAATATATTTCTGAAGTTTTGGTGGAATTGCTCGACAGATTCGAGTAGCTCCCATGCAAGTCTAAAAGCTTATTCTTAATATTTGGAAAAATAATAAAGTCAGATTCATGAAACTTGGCAGTTGTGTGTCCGATTATAGATCAGATATATTTGTGAAGTTTTAATGGAATTGCTTGACAGGTTCCGGTACTTGCCATACAACTCCAAAAGCTTATTTAACATATTTGGAAAAATAATAAAGTCAGATTCATGAAACTTGGCAGTTGTATGTCGAGTTATAGGTCACATATATTTCTAAAGTTTTGGTGGAATTTCTTAACAGGTTCGAGTAGATCCCATACAAGTCTAAAAGCTTATTCTTAATATTTGGAAAAATAATAAAGTCAGATTTATGAAACTTGGCAGTTGTGTGTCCGATTATAGATCAGATATATTTGTGAAGTTTTGATGGAATTGCTTGGCAGGTTCAGATACTTACCATACAACTCCAAAAGCTAATTTTAAATATTTGGAAAAATTATAAGGTCAGATTCATGAAACTTGGCAGTCGGATGTCCAATTATAGGTCAGATATGTCCGTGAAGTTTCTATAGAATGATTTCAGAGGTTCGAGTAATTGCTACACAATAACGAAAGGTGCAGGGTATAATTCAATCGGTTTATACCGACTGAAACGTTTTTATTTGTTTTTTTTTTTTGTTCCGCTCATGAGAGCTACAAGTTAGCCGCAGATAATGCATTGTTACCTGCGCTTAAGTTTTCAAATATTCTTTAATATATACATAAATAAAATATAAAATAATAATCAACGTAATTATTCGCTGTTTATTGTTATTGCTACAATATAATTAATGACATACATAGATCTAAACTCTTTTTTGTAAATAAGCTGGATTAGATAATTCATTGTTTATGTTCGAAATATAACCATTATTGTTTATTTGTTTTGGTGTTAAAGATGTTATTGAGGGTGATGTTTGTGAATATACACCAATAACTGATTGAATTGGAGCCGTGACTTCATCATTAAGTTTGGTTTCACCTCCAAGAGCATCATAATGTGCTAAAATGATGAAAATTTTCCATAAAAATTGAAAACAATTAAAAATAATTGGTTAATGAAATAGTGAAGATGTTTTACCTTGAATTTGTTGCTGAGCATTTTGTGCTTCCTCCTGAGTTTTGTATTTGATAAAATATACTTCTGGTTTAGATGGTTCCACTTGAGGTGCTGGCGTAGAAATATCTAAATCAGTTGAATCAGTTTTCTTGCTTAGAACATATATAACAGTTCTTTCTTCATTATCCTTATGATTTACCAGTGATAGTTTAGCTGGTTTATAAATTGGAGCTTTGATGAATACAACACGATAACTTTTTTGTGGTTTCGATGCTAATACGGTTCTAGGCTCTTCTTCTGGTTCTTCTGGAGCTGTATGATAATAGATGTGCTTGGAAACAAGTGCTGCCTCTAAATCTTGATTATCTTCCGGATCTTTAGATAAAAGTGTACTTTGATATTTACTTTCAGATGATAGTGATTGAGAAGATGCTGGCTGTATCGGTAATGCTACATTTACCATGATCAAACAACATAATATCTATTAATGCAACAAATTATATTTTTAATTTTTACTAACATTAGTGAATTCACAAATTACTTATTTTAGTATATTTAAATACTTACTAACAGTAGTCGCATTTTAGATTATAACAATATCCCTTTATTATGTTAATATGTAGAGGAGTCATCGCAAACTGCACAAATATTTAATCAAAATCTCACTTTTATATTCTTTGTAGGCTGAAATAATCGCATAATGAAAATGAAATGTCTCAAAAGTGCAACAAAACGACAATTCCTGCCGGTTAAAAATGTGAAAATTGAAACATTTGCATAATTCGCCACTAAAATAAATTTATAATTCATAGTAGCTAGAGTTAAAATATTTTATCTGAAGAAATAAAACAAGTAAGTCGGTGCATTTGAATGGAATTACAATGGGAATGCAAGGGAAAAGTAAAATATTTTGATATTTATATTTTCTATTTTTTTTCTATTCATTAATAAAAATAGTCGTTTATATTTTAATTTCTTACAAAATTATTAAGAGGCGAATGGATAATAAAAATCGCTGGAAATATTCATTAAATTTCATATAGGAATTAGGCTGATCCAGCGGATTTTTAAAACTATTTCTTGTCTATTTCAATTTAATATATTACGAAGCATGAACCTGTAACCTTGTATGTAGGAATTTTCGCATTATCTCCTTGTAAAAACAATTAAATGAAGATATTTGACTATTTCGAAGAACAACTTAAACAAGATTATTAGAAAAAAGAAAATTTGATACAAAATTTAGAAATTTATCTAGGGTTCTGTTAACATTAACGACAACATTTAAGATTTAATCTGAGTCTAATGAATGTTGTATGTCTAAATACTGATTATTATTAGATTTTTCCCGACGGCAGTTAGTATAAATTAGTTTATTCTCATCAGGGTTTATCGTTTAATTTTTCGAAAGTAAAATGGCGTTAACCAATTTTTTATGGGAGTATTCAATATCGATTATTCTATTCTATGGGAGTATTCAATTCAATTATTTTTATTCTAATTATAATTTTTTTAGAAGAAATAATAAATTTTGACATAAAGTCCGAACTTCATCTAACTATTCAGTCCGATATGTAAACAGCAATTAGGCATAGTTTTGTCGTATATGTATGTATTTTTTGATTGAAATTTTTCGCAACCTAATAATTGCTTTTTCTATCTATATAAATAGTGCCCTTTCTATAATATAAGGGTAGATTTTACTATAAGTATTCTGTTTTCAACGAAAAAAAAACTTTTACTCCTAATTCCTGCAGCTTCGATCAAATTAGATATACAGTGCTTTTCCTTTGATTCAGCCTAATAAACCGTATACTTAATAATTCAATAAAATTTGTTGTAATTGACTCATAATCTAATTTGTTAAATTAATAATCACATAATACGATGGTGGAGTTATTTTATATTTTTTTGGACTTGTCAATTATGGCTTCTTCGCATTTTACAAAGCAATTATAAAATAAAATATTCACTTATGTTGAAGAGTCGAATATGAAAAGAAAAATTTTGTTAGATAACGGATATTTAAATTATGTAATACCAGAATTTCCTGCATCAAATTAAAATTTTATTCTTATAATTTCTTTTTAGGTAAATTAATTGCCATAATGAAAACGAAAAACATGTTTTAATAAGATTAAGGAAATAACAAACTTGCATTCATTGTAATTTTGCTAAGGCCGTTTCCAAACTTATCGAACTTTGCATTTTTAGCATGATTTTATTTCGAATTATGTGCAGTGTTTCCTCAACATATAGCAATTCGTACTGATTTATCTGCCAAAAATTTATGGTTTTAAGACTCATATTTGAAAAACTCAAGACTCATATTTGGACAGTTTAAAACAAATAGATGCCTAAAAATTTATTTTCAAAACTTTTTATAAAAAAAATTACTAATAGAGGGCTATAAAAAATTGAAACAAATTATATGAAATTGAAAGAATTGAAAAAAAACTTTATATGAAATAACGTTAATATTGCCAATACTGCTATGGCATAAAATAATACATAATAGTACTATTTTAGTACTTTTGGTCCTTTATATCAAATTTAAGAAAAATGCTATAAAACATGTAATACGGTAACAATTCTTTCACTCCTAAAATTTTGTTTAATGTCATTAAAAGTATATAAAATATAAGCTAAAAAGCGGCAAAAATAGTCAAAATAATTAGGATAGATTTTCAATTAATGATAATTTGTATAAAGAATAAGCTATTCTATATCAATAAATAGGAAAAAAATGAATAATATAATTGAAATGTTTAGGAGGAAATTAGAAGAATTATAAAAAGGAAAATTTTTGAACTTCCGTTATACGTTTATATTACACCATTAGAAAAAACGTGGCCTATAAAAGTTGGCGTTTTTTTCAAGTAAAAGTTTATTATTCTAAAATGAAGTGAGATTTTCGCTCTACAATGTCATTATGCAAGTATGTGATAAATTGTCGACTTGAGCGTGCTCTAACTAGATAGCTTGCAGTGGCTCAATAATTGTTTTTCGTATCATTATGCAGTAATATTCGCCCTACTTGTTTATTTTACATCATTTACGCTCTAAATATTTACTAATAAGTAACTGTAAATAATATAAAAAAATATTAAAAATAAATTTTGAACAATTTTTTTTTTACATTAATTATTCTTACACAATGTAGTCATTTTGACTGCTTTTGGGCAAAATAGGTATATACAAAATTTCAGTCTTTCTACTGTTAATGTTTGTATGTATTGTAAGCTTCTTGTATACCTAATGAATATTTTGTTTTTAAAATCGGTTGTTGTTACTTTAGTAGTTATCCTAAATATATGCAATAAAATTTTTTAATGAAATAATTTCATTTTTTACATTAGCTACCCAGTTTTACAAATACATATTTAAATTTTAGGAATTGTAATATTTTAAATTTTTCAAACATTTTCGATTAATATTGAAAATAATTTAATTTATAAAAAAAGAAATTTGGTTATGTAAAATTAGTTTTTAAGACCACATTTTCAATTAAATCTCCGTATCTGGCTTGACATATTATTTCAGTAATTTAAAACTGGCAATATTTTAATTTCATCAATTAGTAAAATTCAAATAATATTGTCTGTTAACATAAAATTTTTTCTTACGTTTGAATTAAATTAAATGACGGCATCGAAAGCGGTGTGTGAATGTTATTATTTATTTTAAATACAAAAATGCTTTGGTCGCGTTTATAATGGTTTTTGATCATATTCTAGATTGTTGAATACCTTCAAAAATTGTTAATTTAGTATAATTTAGAAAATTCATTATTTTTTTTATTATTTTTGTTTTAATAGTTTAATACTTTAATTAAGTTTTAATCAAATCAACATTAAATAAGTGATTGAAAGCGTGTCTGATTGAGTTAAGATCACTGAGATTTTAAGAAATGTGAGAACATAAACTTATGTTTTAGATTTAAATTATTGATAAAATTTAATGAGTTTGGTTTGTCTACGAAAGAATTTTATTTACCAGAATTTTGTAGTAAGCAAAAATTAAAGATACCTATGAGTAAATAAAATTGTTATATAATAGTTCATTAATAAGTGAATCTGTGTGGTTCGCAAACTGCAGGATTAACGAAAAATAAAATAATGAAACAAACTAATTAATTTCTCTAGTATTTTTTTTTGATTTCATGTGAATATCTAAAACTTTTGAAATAACTAAATTGACGGACGAACTTCCAAATTTTAACCAATTTCAATTACGAAAAAAGGGAAGTTCTATATGCCAAAAAACGTCTATAGTAAAATTTACTTTAACACTTTAAAAATATTGGAATATTCGTTATTATTGTTGGCTTGATAGGAATATTCGGTATTTGTTGGCGTCATATTTAATAAGAAAATTTTAAAAGTTTTTTAAACACAAAGACGGACAGATATTTCTGCGTCCAGGACGCTGTGGCATTAGTGGTATTTAAATAAGCCTGTCAAAATGATTTTATTTCAACACTTTAATTAGAAAAAGAGTAAAAGTTCATGACATATTATGTTTGATCAAATGTTATTAACGAAAAGTCTTATTGTTCCTCTTTAAAACTCTGTATCTAAGACAAGATTTAGGTACTAAAAAAGTATGTACTTACATGTGTGCACCAACTTCTATAAACTAAAAATTTCATATGACATTATTTTTGCTTTAAATATTTTTATATTTTTTTATAAAATTAAGATTATTAGAATTTATTAAAATAAACACATATGCATATATATACATATAAAATATAATTTTCCGGAAATACAATTTTAGCTTTTTACTAAAAATACCTCAAGTATAAGAAAATTTATGTAAATTACTACCATTTTTAATTTGAAACCTCCTATGATTTCGATTAAGATAATCGATATTCAAATCCCATTACAATAAGATTATATTTAAAAGTTTTATATTGTTTTATAATATACGAGCAATACTTAATGTGATTTTGCTTCTTCTTTATATTATACATAACATAATATTATAGACGTTATTTACGTGACATTATACGTGACTATGAAATAATTAAATTTTATTTAGTTGACAAAGAATTTGACACGAAAATTAAACGGTATTTACTGTTTGGTTTCGATTGTATTGACTCATTACTGGCATTTTAATTATTATTATATTTCTAACTCACAATCAAAAAGTTTAAAACAAAGAACATTACCCCACGATTGTTAGCCATACATATAAAATGTACTAGATTTGGGGCATTCTGTGGCTGGACATTTATAGGATATTAGATGAATCACCTTAACTATCAACGATGCTAATGACACTAAACCATCAGATCCTGAATGTTGGAGTTGCTAAATTGGAACACAGATGAAAATTGTGTATTCTAAGAAATCGCTGCGTTCAAACCATTCTCTTAAATAAATTCATTTACATTTGTTCGCTTGTTTACATTACAGATTCAAACTTGCAACATACAGATTCAACTTGCATTTAAGTAAACTGTTTCAGTTAGTTTAAGCACAAATATTAAACTTTTCGGAAAGTTTAATAAAGTGTTACTCAAGTTCTTCTCTTAACAACTAAGATTTAGGCAGTAAATGTTTTTCGTAATTTTTTTTAAAATCGCAACCTGCCTTATAAGAATGACTGGTACGAGTTTTAACTAGGTTGGTCCATCTTATCGCTTATAAAAAAATTTCAAAAATAAATTGATTTTAATTATATACTAAATTTGCCATACCGTTTGTAACGCGAAGAAATAACGGTGTTAGATATAGACTCAAGTGTATGTTTTTGATCAGCGTCAAATTCTGAGTTGATTTAGCTTTGTCTGTCCGCCCGTCCGTCCGTTCGTCCGTCTCAACGATAACTCAAAAACTAATTGAGCTCACTTCAGCAATTTTTCACAAATGATTTAATGTAATAAGTGACAGAACCTCATTTAAATTGGGCATGATCCGGTTACCGGTGAAATTTAACACAAACGAACATGTTAGTAGGGCCGATGTGCTTGATAAAATTCGTTAAAATTTCTTGTCTCTTTCTGGTTGCTGCCATACAGCTTCAATAGTAGTTTGGCACACACAGTATTTTGAAAAACAGTACTGAAATTTTGCAAAAATTGATATGGTAATACGGCAACTTAAAGTCATAATCTTTCCCATATTCAGTTATGGCATCTTTACTCGCACGTAGGATTATAAATTCGTACGGGTATCACAGAGTTGACAAGGTCAACTTTATTTTTTCTCGTTTTATTTATAAATCTAAACCTTAAGTTGAATTTAAGTAATTTTAAGACTGGAATGTTTCTTATTACCTATGTATCTCTCATTTCATAGCAAAAGTTGAATGGAATTCATATTTTACGATGTTACATAAATTTCATCAAGAGCAAAACTTTTCAGATTTACTTGTTGACATAAACAGCATTATAATGTAATGAACGTATAATTTTTACGTCAACATAAATATAATGAACGTATAATTTTTACGTCAAGCATTTTATAAACATAAGAAAGAATTCATTTCCGAATTAATTGAAATAAATTAAATATATTGAAAGCAGATAGCTTGAAAATATTTTAAATTATTTGTTTTTTAATATAAATTTTATTTAAATTTCGATTTCTTTAAATTAATTCTATTATTCTCATGACTCAAATCACTTCCACATTTCAAAAATTTCATATTTCAACTACATATGATTTCTCATGCACACAAATAAATTTTCCACCTACAATTTATAAATATAGGTACTAATAAAATAAAGACTTAGTCTCAAAATGAATAAACAATAAGAATAGTAAAGACCAAGGTAGATCTTTATTTATTCCAAAGTCATGTAAGTAACATTGAATTTTTTTTGTATGTGTATAATTTTACATTGTAATATAGGGCATTTTAAAGGTTTATTGGAAGTCATAAAATTAAATATGAAATTAAAATTATTTAATAATGCTATTTTAGAGAATTTTACATGATTTAACTTATGATTTTATCATTGGAAAATCAATTATATATACATAATATGCATATGGCGGAGATATTTATTCTTGTTTGATAATTATATAATTGACAATATAACAAAAAAAATTTTTAAAATTTATGTAAAAGCAGCACAAAACTTTCAAGGTAAAGTTTAGAATTTTGTATTCTCACAGCAGTATAAGAATTACAAAACGGCTTGAGTTAACAATTAAAATCATTGACAATTATTTTAATAGAAATTACAAGTAATAGTAGAAATTTTATAAAAGTATAATTTTATGTAGCAGAAAGCGTCTTGTGGGTTAAAATTGTACCGCAAACATCCAAATTAGAACACATTGAATGAATTGGGAGATTATTGGACTAAAAGCACTATTAATTAATTATAAGCTGCTTGCTTCTATACAAATTCTAATTATTAGTATAAGAATGTCTTGAAGTTTGTTAAATTAACAAAATAAACAAATAGAGAAACTGTGCATTTCTTATTATTAAAATGCTCATTAATTTACATAATATGCGCAAATCAGTAACTTTCAATTCGTAAAATGTTATGTCTACGCACTAAAATTTCATAATTTTTAGAAATCTTTTAATAATGATTTATTTTATCGCTGAATTGATAATTAAAAATTAATTTGTTGAACAAATTTGAAGAAAACTCGTGAAGAGCAAACACAAAAAAACAAAAAAGTTTCATAATAAATTTTATTAAATATTTTAAATAAAATATTTAAAGTCAAGACGTCAGAAGAAAACCAAGAAGAAAAATCTATTTATTATGCAATTTTTAAATTTTTTTTTTTGAATAAAAAAAGCATCGATTATGTGCTTAAGCGTCATAACAATAACGTGTTAAGCGTCTGTCTGCATCCTACTCTTTGCGTTAAATTATTTTGAATTCAATTTATTAAAATTTTTCTGCTATTTTAAGTTTTCGACTTTTTGATTTTTCTTTTTGGTTATTTAAGCTATAGAAGAAGTTGTTATGAGATTTTGTTTTGATTGTCTCATTGTTTTGATTTTCTTTTTTATTATAAACAATAGAATTGTAAAATGTAGTGATTTTTTCTTATTTTTAAAAAATTTTAAGATTATGTTAATGTTTAAAATTTTTTTTTTTTAAATGAATTCAAATCTATTTTTTTATAAAAGCAAATCATTTTTGGAGAAAATAAAAAATTAAGCAGTTTACGGTTTTGACCTCCGTGCCGTCTTGTTGTTTCACTTTCATCTTTTTCTCACATACCTGTATACGAACCTATTGTGAATTTTTTTGGTCTTTTTGAAGTACACATGTATGTAGGTAAGTGTATAAAAATTGTTTTTTTATTTATACATAAATAATTTGTTTTGTCTTCGATTTTTTTTTTTTATTCTTTACACTTGATTATAAATTAATAATTTATTGTGAATTAATGTGTTAATCGATTTGATTCCATCCATCAAAAATTTGTTACGGTTTCAAATTAACCTGATATTCACAATAAGGTCAAGTGAATTAGAAACTGCTTTGACTTCCGGTTTGCTAAATTTTTGCAAAAAATTCCAAAAATGTTTTGAAAATAATTAAAAATAAAATTCTCTTTTTTTTTATGTAAAAAAAATTTTTTTCATAATAAGTAACAAATATTTAATTACACAATAATTATTACATAACAGTAACTTTGTTTTTTATTATTGCGAACTAATATTATCCTATACAAACATTTTATATACACAAATAGATAATAAACTAAAAAAAAACAAATGAAATTATAATGAAAAAAAAAATAAAAAGAAAACTAATCACAGCTAAAAATGAATAATAAATTAAATGCGCGCGTTCGTTCGTTGTTTTTGTTTTTTCGATTATTATATAATATGTAATGTGTTGTTTTTTATTTTAGTTTTCTAATGGCGATGTGGTGGTAAATAACCTGAATTTTGATGTGAAATTAGACCACCTGGTCCAGATGGTGCAGTACCTGATATTAAACCACCACCACCATTACCATTAATATGTCCGTGACTATGACCACCGTTTCCTAGAGCTCCAATAACAGAACTGACTGGTGCAATACCTTCATCAGTAATTTGACTTGTTCCACCTAATGCATCATATTGTGCTGTAAATAAAAAAATACATAAAATGCATGTATATAATTAAATGTGAATTCATTAATTTTATTATACTTATGTTTAGTTAGATGAGACTTAATGTTAATGATACATGGTTAGGTAGAGTTATGCATGATAAGGGAATTCCGAACAACTTATTTAAATTCATTGTAATTAATTAATAGGAAATAATATCGAGTATTTTTTGTTTAATAATAAAATATATGACCAATCAACATTAATTTTAATGACAAATAAAACACAGTTTTATACTTGATAAGAAAACGATTTATGTGTATGTGCGAAGATATGGTTGTGTACAAGTAAAGATTGTTTTTCATTGAAATATAAAACTTTTCTTAAAAATTAGTTTATTACCGGCCACATTTTTATAGAATAAGAGAGAATAATGGTGTGGGGGCAAATGTCGATTTTTCGGAAAACCGTTTCTCCATGTTATTCTATGATTTATTTCATGTTTATACGAAGAACTATGTAAACACAGAACTTCATAGAATTCAAAATAATGGTTAAAAGATATTTTTATAATTGTATGGTGAAATGCGATCGATTATAGCGGATTAGATGGTCATGCCAGATTTTTATAGGTTATGGTACTTTTTATACACTCTTCATATTGAAATATCTTGTTTTTATATGTTGATTCTTCAAATCATTATTTTGAAATCACTTCCCGACTTTTAAAAGATCTCACATTTTACAAGCTTGTTTATTTTCATAAATTGGTTTCAATATGATATGGTAAAGTGTACTTTTATGTATATCTATGTATACCAAACAAATTAAAATTGAAAAGCAATTACGATTTGAACGCATAATATGCGGCTAGCATCTGATATCAACAATCTTTTAGTAGTCATAAGAATGTTGTAATGTGAGTTTTATTAATTTATTGGGCCAATAGTTTCGGAAAAGACAAACAGACACAAGTTTGCAGTTATATAAACTACAGTCAAACGAAAGAATAATGAAAAAGTTTTTGCACAGTTAATTTAATAGTTAGTATTATTTAAGAACGTATCGCAAGATCGTAATGAGTAACACAAATTGGAAAATTAAATGAATCAGCCAATTTGTGTTAGGCCAACTTTTAATTTATTCTAGGTTTTATAATTTTCATATTAGAATTAAATTTCACAATTATTTTCGTAGCATAATCACAGCATTATTTACGAGAAAGTGTTACAGAGTGCAAGGGATTGAAAAACTTTTGACTTCAATTGCATATTATACTTCAATACGATTGCATACAATGTAAATGATCAAATTATATAATTAAGAATGAAAAATTTATCTCTGTTTTTAGTATGCAATTAAAACGTTAAGAAACCCCTTTACTATTTCGATTTATTAGTCGATTTTAAAATGTGCTGCAGCCTACTGTAAATCATTTATTGCGCTAACAATAATAATGACTAAATAAATATTTTGAATATTTGCGAATTTGTTTCATAATGAATTTCTTAAATTCATAAAACTTTTAAGACAAAAATAAAATTTGTCTTTGCTTCTTCTTTTTTGGTAAATTAAATTAATGGAAATAGTTAAATATTTTGGCAGCATAATAAATTTTAACACATAATTGCATTTTATTTTTGCTGTTTTTTGTTTTTATCATTGTTAGTCAACGAAACCAATAAACTATAATAATCTCAAACTGCGAATTCATATTCTCTAAAAAATGAAAATTAATTCGCATTCCCAAAAATATGAAAATCCATGTGAATTTCAATACGAATATTTTCATAAGTTGGATTGTTTAAAATATCACGTCATCAATTTTATCGCACTCTGGGTACCGGATATCCCTTTTATTTTCATATGCAGATTTCAATTTCATTGTACTCGATAATTATGGCACTTCCATGCATTGTAACCCCTGCAGGGTTAATACATTAATCATAATAAGTAAAGCCATAAAATAAAATAACAAGATTATTTAATAAGAAAATAAAAAAAAATTATGTATGAATTCTGAAATTACATAATTGCATACTATCAACTCTTATACTCTGTATACGTGTTATACACTCATCAAAATGACCATCATAAATGTTGCCAAATATAGGTAATAAATTATAAATTTTTTTCGTTTTGGTTTGTTTTTTGAATAAATTAGTTACCAAAATCCGCAAAGAAACATAACGAAAACTGAATTTAATAAGAAAAGTAAAATTATTAAAAAATTTCACATAAATTTCACTGTTTAACGACCCACCGATCACGCATAAATAGTGCGCATAAATTTTAAGGTTTAAACACATTATGTGAATTTAAATACACATATGTATGTAATATACAGATAATAAAAATATTATATCGTGTGTACTTGTATTATTATGAGTATGTCGTAATACAATCCAAAATAAATTATTTCTTTTAATGTCACACAAAGTGATTACACTCGTAAATGGCGATATTTATGTATGGACATTTTTATAAAAAAATCAAAAATTTGTAATTTCAATTCCAAACCGATTAGGGTACACATATATTTTGATAAAAATTTATAATCGCATTTAAAAACCTTATTTGTCTGATTATGCGTATAACAGAAAAATTTTAACCAAATGCGTGTTCCAAATGGAAACTCATAACTTAATTTACAAAATAACCCATATCGTATGATCAGAAAATTATGATTGTACCATTTTTAAAAAAATTTATTTGATTTTAAAAAATTCTTTGAAATCTACATATGTACATAATGTATATAAAGTGTGACATTACTGTTTACGCTTCGTATTTATGAACTTGGTGTATGTAACCTAAATTAGCCGAATTAAACTTTTCTGAATTTTATCTCAATTTCTAGTGTTCCACGTTTTGCTCTATATTTCTTCAAAATTTATTTAATGTATCCGAATAAGTTGCGATAATAGATGAAACCATAAACTTTAATTTAAATCATTTAATCAATGGAAGATGTACTCTTCGACACTTCATGTCTCATGAATATTGTAAAAATTCCAAAAACCAGAAGAAGTATTCAAACAACAGGAGCTGATTTTTTGAAATTTTTAAACGGCTGGCTGGTTCTAATGAGAAAAAATATACTGGCCTGTCCATACAGTTCAGGGAGCATCTTCATGTTAGTATTTTGACAATTATCGAACAATTACAATTGGTTTGCCGAACTAAAATATCGCTGAACTTTTAGTCATATTTTGGTTCTTTAGTTTTCTATTTACATTCATGACTCAAAACTGTATTGTGTGTACTATCTTGTGCGTGGACAGCCACTTGGTAGCAGGGATTTTGCTTTTTTGAAAAGATATTATCGTGCCATCCTTAATGGAAATTTATAGTAGCACTAGCCTATTACACCATTAATATACTCGTGTGATGATAATAAAAGCATTATACTCTTATGTAAATCAACTTGGGTGACATGGACCACGAATAAATTAACAGCAGAAAAAGAATAATAAATGAATACAAAATTGGTTTTTTATTGACGCTATAAAATTTTTCTTTAAAACTGAAAACAAAAAGAAAATAATAATTTTGTGTTATAATAACAAGAGCCTAACGGATTTCTTTCCTATTTCTTTTGATTTCATCTCTTAAAAATTTATTAAACTAAAAGCAATAAATTTAATACATATGTCATAATGTAATTAAAAGATATAATTTTTGCAATTTTGTTTTTTTTTGGGTCATGGATAACATGTTAATCATAACAAAGAAATAAAACTATATGGGAGACACCACATTAATTGATAGCTTATTATTTTTGTAATCAAAATTTCTCATCTATTGTAGATGAAAAAATTGAATTGAAGAAGAGAATGCACAATAAATGGTGTTGTCCATTATCTGCATGAATTGAAGACACAAAAAAAATGGGATATTTTTGTAAAATATGGTAGCAAAATTTTGAACTGTGCCTTGTTCTTTGAGGCCATTTATTACACTAAAGCTAAGAATATAGTTAATATACCAAATATTTATATATGTAGCTGACAATAAACTATAAATTGTGGGAATACGAAAAGATTGCGACAAATAATTGAGGAAGACAACAGAAATTTACATTAATGATAAGGACATTGGTGGTCAGTCGAGAATAACATCAGAAAAGAAAATTGAAAGAAATTTTATGTCAAATAAAAATACCCATAGAAACCATTTAAAACAAGATTTTCTACCGAAATGTTGAATGAAATGAAATGAAATGAAAGCTCTTCTGGAGCTAACTTAAATTTTGTTAACTGAATCAGAAATATATAATTTTCATAGTTCATTTAAATATAGCTGCATAATTTTGTAAGAGTTTTGTTAAAGTTCATTTCAGAAGATTTCTGTTTTATGAATTCTTTCAGTCATTAAATATTTAATTAAAAAATCAACTTTATTGATTTTGTTTAGAGCCTTATATCCAATTTATAAGAAAACTGTTCATTTTAAGGTTCATTGCACTTGTTATGCTAGATTAAATTTGTATAAAATGAAGGTACTAATTAATTTACAATTATCTGATAGTTTATCTATATTGAACATTCTTTGCATTTGAATACTTTAACAATAATTTTTAATTTATTTTACTGGTCAAGGTTTTTAATGTTCAGATCTGAATCTTAATTAAATTTGAGGAAATCAAAACAAGAACCGAAAGCAGATTGTTACTTATATTTGTTAAGTTACTTAATCTGTTAAGCGAATTAAATTTTCGTTAAAAAAAAAAAACTTGCAAGCAAAACCAGTTTTATACTTTGTGTATTAAGAATTTTGTAAACGAGAGTGGCATTTACTTATTAAAAAAACGATTGAAAAAACGACATGCAAATTTTAAAAAAAAATTTTGGTAAATTTATAAAGAACTTACCTTGAATTTGTTGTTGTGCATGTAGCGCTTCTTGTTGTGTTTTATATTTAATAAAGAATACTTCTGGTTTATGTTGTACTGGTTGTGGAATTTGTTGTAATGCTGCTTGTATATCGGCGGCATCTGTTTTCTTTGTTAAAACATAAATAACAGTTTTCTCTTCAACTTGTGCTTGAGCCTGTGCTAATTTTAATGCAGCCGATCTACTTGATTGGGATGGTGCTTTAATAAATATAATTCTATAATGTTTACGTGGTGGTTGTTGTGGTAAATTTGGTTGAGCAATATGTTCTTCTGGTTCTTCAGGTGCAACATGTACATAAACATCTTTTGTAACAATTGGTGCTATATTTTGTTGTATTCCTTGATATGCTGAACCACCGTGTACGGCTTGTCCTTGAATATGTGATGATTGATGTGGTGCACTATATGATGGTGGCGGCAATGGTGCAGGTAAAACAGGCGGTAATGGTGGTGCTATTAAACCATGTTGATTTGAATTAATTTGATTGCCTATATTGGGACTAGGAAGTCCAATAAATCCCTGCTGTTGCGAATGATGATGATGTCCACCACCACCACCCACGCCTAGAATACTGTTACCAATAAATCCCTGCTGATTTTGTTTGTACTGATAACCATCTAATGAAGCACATGATGCTAAACTTAACGAACACAACACCTTTACAAAATAACAATAACAATGAATTAATTTTTGATATTATACAATATTATTATTTAATCATTTTTATTTTTCTTTTAATCTCTAGTATATTTAAAAAAAAATCACTATCAAAAATGATTTATTGCAGATCACATACCAAAAATAATTTCATTTCGAAAACGAAAAAGGGGGAATCCAAATAATTTCTTTATACAGAAAATCAACACTAATACACTTTTTTCCTTTTCAAATTAGTTTTTCTTTTTTTTTCTCAAAACTTGATAAATTTGTGGTTTATCTTCTTTGACTGTCAAAATTATATTAAGCTGCTATTGACTTGTTACCACAGTTTTATATATGAAAAATCATAATGAACTAAATTTTTACTTTTAAGCTTTTCACTGTAAAAATATCAGTTAGTAGATTTCGATTGGTAACTTGTACACAAGAGCGTCTTAATACTTATAATAAAAAAAAAAAAACAAACAAAATAAAACCAATAAAACAAAATAAGAAATACAAGTTTGAATTTCTTCTTCTTCTTTTTTTGAATTTTATCAGCCTCGGGGTCATCTTTGGTAAGTAAAATAAAGAGTTGGTGCCTACCAGAAAAAAAAAAATAGAATTTGTAATTTTACATCAAAATTTTCATAGGAAAATTTTGACTCTAGTGGTCGCATGACAAAAATTTATTTGTCTAGTAAAGGCAACTATGCAGTTATAGTTTTCCTTTCCAAGTAAATGCATGAAGAGACTAATATGATAATTATTACCACCACATCTACAACATTGTTAACACACACGAAAACTCAATAACAATAACATTATTAAGTATTCATGTTAACTGATGTACGAAAATGTGTATGAGTATATAAAAAAAAAATAAAAACATAAACGAATATAAAAGCCGGTCTTTAGTTATATTGTCTGCCTAACTAGTCATGATCATCACAATCACAATCATTATAACAACAATAATCAATATGAGTATTTTCTGTTGTGTGTGAATAGGAGAAGAAGATTATTTTTCTTGAAATGTTGAGTTGAGTGTTGGGCACTTATTCAATTTTATTTTACATAATGTATGTATGTAGATGAACTTGTGTGTGTTTTTTTAATTGATATATGAGTGTATAAAGGTAAATTGGTCATAATCGCACGTTTTACTCACGTTATTTTTGCCACAAATTTTGTTTTCTCGTAAAAATCTTTTATTATTTTGGTTTTTATTTGTTTACTAATTTCGTATAACTTTTGTAATTAGCGTTTTTTTAAACTCTTTTTGTTTTTTTTTTCCAAGCTTTTTTAGTATTTTCATAGTATTTTATACTTTAATCACAAAAATGATAGTGAGAGTTAAAAAATATTATGACTGCATCTGATCTTCTATTTGGTTTTTTCTTTTGATTTTTGAAGCTTTAAAACAAATTAAGAAAAAAGTATTTTTCAACTTTTAGGACAGTAGTTAGTAAAAAGGTATAGCAAAAATTTTTTTTTTTCGTAACTTAAATTATTTAATTATTTTGGAGAATTAGTAGGAAATAAAAAATTGGGTAACTGTGAGTACACATTTTAATAATTTAATGACACCGCCTTAAAATTCAAGTAAATTGAATTTCAATGGATGGAAAGTTTTGGGAAGATGAGAAATAAATTTTATTGCAAATTATCAGATATAAGCTTATTTCCAAATTTGGTTTAAGGTTCTATCTTGTATCTTAGAACTTATTAATTGATACCGATTTTATCGTAAAAATTTGGACATTATACCTTTATAAACCACAATTACGAATTTCTTCAGATCTTTGATAGTATTTGTTGTTATATAATTTTAAAATGAAAATATTCATTTTTTTCAAAAAGTGTCCTTGTTTTGATGTTTTTCTCGAGTTTTACTTTACTAATCCTAATTCTATCATGAAACTATAGCCTATTTATTAAAAAAAATCTATTTAATTTTGATTGAGTGACTATATTTAACCTAAGCAAAAATTCTACAAAAAAAATCTTAATCCGTCAGAGACTAAATCGAGCGTACCTGTAAAATGAATGAATCGATACGCTTCATTTTTTGTCACCAAAATAAAGTGATGCTTTAAGAATTGTTTTAGTTTATATTAATTTACTTTTCAAATTATTTTCTATAAAATTGAGTACTTTGTATGAATAAATTGTGAATATTTTATACAACATGTATGTAAACTCAGAATGATTTTGTGTAACGTTAATAACGGATTATTAAGTTTTGGATGCATTTTATTGAATGAGAAAATTATTGCATAAAAAATAAATATTTAACCCGTTCATATACTTTCTATAATTTGATTTATTAAGACAATAATAGTGAGCAAATTCATTAAAAATACTTCTACATAGTTACTTAATCAGTATTTAAGCTTCTACATTTTTCCTAAGAAATCTGATTTGATAAATCCGGCTTTGCCAGTTTGTTTTATAATAATTCATAGGTATACCGTAGGCTTTAAAGCAACTTCTGTTATAACAAAACAAAAGTTATGACTATTTCAATAAAAAATTATGCTAAAACAAAGACAAAAGTTTTCAAAAATTAACCATTACCAAAGTTTTATATTACAAACCATTAATGTTTTAACCGCGTTTACCCATCAAAATAATTTTTATGCATGATCTCAAAAAATTTGGAAAAAATGTGCTGCTTAGCTTCATATTGTACATTGGTCAGTCCGTTCGTGTGCCTGTAAATAAAGCTTTTACGCACTTTAGGGCTCAAATGTAAAAAAATGCCGATATACTTCCTCTGACCGGTCGGTGTTTATTATATTTTTATAGGAAACAGTATATTTCAAAATATTACTTCTACGAAACTAAGACTTTTCAAATTTCTATAAAAACAGTAAACCATATTAAAATAGTATTATTTAAGTCATCTAATACGCTTCTTTCCATTATAATTTAGTAGTGTTAAGGCTTCCTTCCTTAAGCTTTCTTATCCCACTAGATATGCAATAATTAACGAAGTGTAATGATGATGAGAATAAAATACGCACATACGTAAATCTGTACAGAAGTTGAAGGTAAATTTGCTACTTTACAAACCATTGGTTTATTCCAAATTCATTATACATATAATAAATATTATAAAAATATTTCAATCGGCGTCCATCTGCTTTATATATAATAGCACAAATACATTAAGCGGCAAATTGTATTTTATGACAATTTTTTGTATAAGATTTAAATTTTAAATTTTCATGTTCATAATAAGAAACGAAGAAAAAGTGAAACAGTTTTGCTGATAAAAAGTGAATCAACAATATTAATGAAAATTTATTAAAATCTTTAATCTAAATAAAAAAATCAAATACGGAAATAAATAAAATGAAATTATAACAATTATATCGTAAACGCTTATTTAAATAAATTCGCATATTCGCAAACCGTTTTACAGACACTTAAAAATGACAATAAAGAGAATTACGAAATCATAAGTAACACATCATATTTGAATTTAAATTAATACGAGTGGAAAATATGTTTGAGTACGAATTCGTCTACATATGTACATACAACTAGGTATATACCTTCCTTGCAAATAATTAAATATAATGAAATTACAAAATTTCACATACAGCTGCAACCTTCTTTTCGGTATTTTGTAATCAAGTTGAACTGTCAGTATCCAATTTTTTTTCGATCGTATATAATATTTTGTGTAGTTTAAATTTAATTGCAGATTAAATTAAAAATTATTTTTGGATTTCTTCAAAAAACAATTAAACAAGATTTCACAATTTATAGCGATTATCGCTTTAAGTATACTAATTAAGTGTATTTTTTATGGCTTTAAGATTTGGGTAAAATTTAATACGAACGTGAAAATATGGAATACAATCAATCTTATATGGCATCTTATATGGAATCTTGTATAGAATTTAAACGCAGACTAGTATATGGCAGCTCCGATTAATTAATTGCACAAATTTTCCGTTATAAGAAGTGCGCCGTTAGAATATCGGATTGGACGAATTATACAATGTACCTAGAATTTGATAAATACTTTTTCTAATTAAAAGATGAGCCTTTACTTTTAGACCTTAAAAAATTCCAAAAATCTTTTGATGACATAAAGACGGTGAGTTCATAAAATTATTTTTGCAAAAACAAAGAACGGGCCAATTCAATTTAATACTAATAAAACTTAACTTTTCAGCTTGATAGAAAATTAAGTTAGAATGAAAATAATTTTAAGAAATACAAAGTGCAGATGAACTCAAGTTCTCAAGAGAATTGAAATTGATGTATAATTGTGTGTAAATAACGCTTTATTGTAAATTTACACAAAATTTAGAAATTTTTGATTGTCTTCGACAAAGTTAAAGCTTTGCTGTAATATGATTTTATTTACACCAATTTTCAAGTTCCACATGTCTATCTAGGTACTCTCACCGCTCTCAAAAGCAATCTTAACAATAATGGAAGCATTGAACATTCATTATTTTTTTTTCATAGTTCGAAGCATGATTTATAGTTACATTGGAAATTAAAAATTTTGCATTTTTATAGAATTTTCGTATAGAAGACTCAGAATTCATAGATTTTAAAGATCAACTCTTGTTTCAGGTCATTGCAAAAATAAAAAAAAGCTTTGGAAAAGTTGAAAAACCAGATCGATACAAAGTTTGCAGAAATTGATAAATTCCAAATATCTAAATAAAATATTAATTTTTTTTTTGTTTTCCATCTTCAATTAATACCAAAATAGCGAATTTTATTATATTTGCAATTTCTCAAGGTGAAAATAAAATTGATGGGCGTTAACATTAGATATTTTTTTTTTGCTTAATAATTTTCGGTGTAATTTTTTTTGTAATTTATTACTAATTTTTTTCGGGTTATGTGGTTTGAATGTAAACAGTATTATAAAATCAACTTTAGTAAAGTTCAATAGAATTTTTCATATTTTCTGAATCTTATTTGCAAAATAGCAAAATATTAATTACAGCTATGCATGCACGTGCAGATCTACGTGTAGGTCTTAACAAGTGAAATTAAAAAGAACAAATTTAAGGATTTAGTTTTTAGCAAATACATTCGATACTATATTTTTGTCAATGGACCTAGTAAGCTTCAAGAAGACCATAATAACCTTTATTTTCCGAATAGAATAGTTTGGATTAATTGTGATATACAACAATATATACAATGTAAAGAAATTGTCAAACAGAAAAAATATCTGAAATTGACGACATTCGAATAGATAAAGTCAAATTTAAAGGATAAACTGTAAGGAAAGATTCAGGGTTATTCAGGTAATTTTAACTGATCAAGAAACATCAAATTAAATATTTTAATCGTTTATTGGAAAACTTTTGTATTTTATATTTTGCGAGAACAACTTGTACAGTTTAAAACAATTGTAAAAAAATATATATGTATGTATATGCTCAAAGAATGAAACTTATGGATAAGTATTATAAAAATAACATCAGTACATTCGAAAATATTCTTTTATCCGCACGTTTGTTGCATTACACTTGAAAATATTTTAGGTAAAATTGTTGAAAAATGCTATAGTGAAAGAGACACTTGCTTAACCTACAACTTGTAAACACTTAATCTTTTGAACAAGGACTAACCTTCCTGAAAATTTTAGAGGGGCGGGGAACATGGCAGAGCCGATTTTCGAAAAACTTTCCAACGAAAATTTGTAGAACTTTTCTTGTCTTTTATCCCACATGAATAAATTTTGGCGAAATTCAATTAGAACTAAAATGGATTACTTCGGACCCGTAAAGTTGCAATATTGAAATTCTTAAACGATATTAAAATTATCAAATCCCCTTTGTTCTAAGTCTTAATCTCATATAGCTCCTTTAAGTGTTTTGTTTTGATTTTTTGCTGTAAGTTTTGAAAAATTTATTATGATCTACTATAATTATGTATGTATAATAATTGTATTGAGGAATTGGTATAAGTGTTTCTTAAAACAACTAATTTAAAAAACTTTTACGGGACCTCCAATTTACTTCATAAAATTTTACTTCACATATTGTTATTTAAATTATTAGTTTTCTCATACTAATTTTTAAAAAGTATAATTTTTTTATGTAAGGTTACTGTCGTAAGTTTTTTGTTATTTTTTTGAAACGGAAATTACATCGGAATTAAACTCACATTCCATATAAGTTAATTGAAATAACATTTTTCATTTAATAACAATATGTGGTATCAAAAAAAAAAAAAAAACTTATGACTCTTTCATGCTCCACAATTATCACTGATTACTAACAATGAATTATTTTTCTCCTCATAAATTTCACTTTCATTTGAATTTCGGAGACTGATTTATTACAATTAATAATAATTGTACAACAAGCGATGAAATTGCGTTTATAAATCAAAAGGCAAAAAAAAAGAACAATGAAAAGAAATCACAAAACATTTTTAAATTGATCAGTCGAAATTAAACGAAAATTCCTCTCGAAACGCTCCTCTCCTTCTGTTAAATGTAGTAACATACGAGTACGACGTGTGTATATTATATTTTATATTAATATGCTGCGAATTTATGACATGAAGATGCAGTGCATTCTTTTGTATACTTTAAAGTTTAGTGCAAAATTTAACTGTTGAATTTCACAACTCCATTGTACATATACAACACTATAATTATAATAAAAATAATCAACATAAGTTTACATACATACATAATTATTATGTTAAAATTAGATAGAAATGCTCAAATTACTTATATATGACTGCTATGTAAGAAACAGTACGTATGAAATCTTACACACACACATGTACATATACGTATGTCTATAGGCACTTAATGTGTACTTATAAATGGAAAAGCATCGATCAAAGATAAGGAAAAAATATTATTGAAAAGTTTTGTATTATTAATGGCCATATAAAATAAGTTAATTATTAAAAACGCTGTTAAAGGGTTTTTATGAAACTTGAAATTGAAATTAAATTATAATGGTAATTATTTTATTCAAAAGCTCAGCATGATTAATTGAATACTATAATCGAAATTTGTAGAATTGATTGCGAAAATATTAAAAAAAAATTAAACATTTTCTTTTGAATCTCTTGTATTCGAATAAAAATTTCACAAGGCGGGAAGAATTTTTCAAAACGAAAATTTATTGCAGACTGAATTTTTATTATTTAATTTAAAGTTTAGGAGGTTTTTGATGCAACTATTAATAATTGAGCTTTTCAGTATGTAATATTCCCTATTAGATGATGAACAAAGAATATAATGTTGTAATAATAATTAACTATACGTGCAACCTATAAATATGGTGTTGCATCAGATAATGAACATTATTAAACGATAGATAAGCGATTATGTAACATAGTTTTTGAAATTATGGAAAAATCAAACCAATAGTTTGCAAGGAAGCATTTTTCCTCTGTGGTGACCTACCCCTAGAAAGCGGTAGGTCATTGCTTCAAGATCATTTGGAAGAAAAAATTTAATTTTTAATATTTCTGCCTTAATTCGTTCCTTTGGCTACGTCGTCTATCTGTTCTGCAACTGTATGAAGAAATTTTCTTTGTGTACTTCCATAAGCACTTTTCCTATGTACAAATTAAAATACTCCCTTAAATATCAGTCTCCTACATTATAATTTCAATTACTTTCATTTTAAATTATTTATAATTACTTCTATTACTAATACTAATTTAATTTTAAAAGAAATAATTATATTAACCGTTAAGAAATAAGCATTAACCGTTATTGATCCACATTTATAGAAATTTGAAAAAGCTTGCAATTTCAGAAATATAAGGTACCGAAAATTCAACTTTTAGGAATTTCGAGAGGCGATAACAGATAAAATTCTCTTGTTGAAGAAAAACGATATCGAAAATTTGAAAAAAAAAAAAATTTACGTAATGGTTAATGTCAGCTGCTGCCATTTTGTCTTTATAATGTTTAATTGTGCTGGTTCGAGGTAGAAGGAACATATTACTAACTTCTTGCGTTTACAAAATTAAAAAAATATTTTTGATTTCATTGCAACAAATAGTTGAAAAAAGCATTTTTGATGGTTTTGGGTAGCTATAGCTTTTAGACGGGGGGATAGGTAAAAATATTCTCTTGCAAAAATAAGTGTTTACTAAAAATTTTTTTTTGTTAAATTACAAATAGTTCCTTTTAGTTCCTCTTGATGAGTACAACCATAATATTTCATCTCTAAACGAAATTCAATCTAAACTGCATATTAAGATACAATTAGATATGCAGTTGAAATGCATATATAATTACGTACTACAAGTTAATATTAAGAAATAAGTTGTCTCAAATAATAAAATTTAAAAAATTTACACTTTTCGAAGTGCAATATCTTTACCTTAACATTATTTCAAAATCATAAATAAAAATTGCATATATTTTGGGGTAAATTTCATGGGTTTTGATAGATATGAATTAAAAAATACAAATTTACTTGTTTTGTTCTTTGCATTTCATGTTGGTTATTTTTTTCTAACTTTCGAAAATGTTAAATTAATTTCACCAAATTACTAATACAATAATTACAACAAAAATGTATAACATTTCGCAATGTATAATAAGAAATTATTAAATGATCAATATATACCTAGGTATATACATATATATATATGTAAATAATTTTCCGCATCATTTTAAATTCCAATCACGGTTTATGCAAAATATTCACTTAGTGAATAATTTAAAAAAAAAAAATTTAACCTAAAAATTAATAATTGATTATTCAATTCATTTTCGTACAAAATTTTTCATATTTATTTTCCTGAAAGTTTCTGTTCAAGCATTTTTTTTACATAAAATAAGAGAAAAACCAAAAAATCATGAAAAAAATCTCCCTTTGGAAAGTTCAAAGAGGAATATATTTCAAATAGACAGACATTTTTGATTACCTCAATATTCTTATGTATATGGCTCATCATGTTTGTAGCTCAAATAATCCACATTCCAATCACTTTTCATTTGCAGTTCATTTTTTGAATTCGTATTAACTTGGGCTATATTATACTCAGTTAATTTGAGAAGAAAACATTAAAATTTTTGTACATAATGTTGTGATTCATATGTTATGGAAAAAAAACCATAACTCTCGTACTGAAATTTTTGTTTATTTTATACGGTAAAGAGTAAAAGTTTTAAAAAATTTCTTGTAATAATGATATACACACTTACTATATATAGGTTTACAAAATCGCAAAATTGTTTGAAAAATTATTATATTACTACCGGTGTGCTGATAATATGTGGCAATCTAGATTATTAAACTTAAAAATTCAAAATAGACCTGCTATATTTCAATTTGTGATCGTGAATAATAAAGTGATAATTGAAAAAATAAAAATAAAAATGTAAAAATGAAGTAAATCAAAATTTTTATACTTGGAATTTACCAATGATTCCCCCATTTCCTTTGTGATGCAATAAAATAAAGCTAAAGTTAAAAATATGATAAAATTTTCACATGCATACTGCAATATTTTTACGATTTATACATACATACACATAAGTATGCTAAAAAATTTAACAAAGAGTATAATAATGGAAAAAAAATTTTAATCTTCATTATGACTATGTACATTTTCATCCTAATTAATGATATTTTAACATTCATTTACTAGTGAATGATAAGTAGTTTTACATGTAAATAACTGTTAATATTTTACTATAGCAATTTTTTATTATATTTTTTATTTTCGTTTTTATGTATATTTGTATTATAATTTCGAATAATGTACCTAAACAAAAAATTATAGTTGTTTTTTAAGCAGGGCTGTGTTTTAGTAAAAAAATTAAATAACTGCAATCTTATAGTAATTATAATTAACAAAAATGTTATGTAGGTGCGAGTACATGAGTAATGATCATCCAAAAGAATATCATTAAGTAATGTGTATACAATAACATTAAGTAAATATTACAAATTTATGAATTAATATTAGAAATTACAATTTTCATTTGATTGAGTAATAATGTTAAAATAAGAATGATAAAAATATTTTTGATCTTGAATTAAATGGTTTTTTGCGTATAATAGTTACTACGTGAATATTTGATGCAATTTGCAAGATATATAAAAGTTAGTTGTTGTTTTCTTAGTGAGCGTCGAAAATAAAAGTGCAATAATTACATAACTCTAAACGAGAAAAAATAGAGTTGACCCTATTAACTATGTGATACCAGTACGAATTTGTTACCCTATGTGCGAGTAAATATATCATAGTTAACTATCAGACTATGACTTTAAGTTGCTCACTAAGTATAAGTAATACTGTGTTTTAAATATTTTACTACTATTGAAGTTGTTCGGCAGCTACCACAAGAAGTCAAGTTACCTGTTAAGTGTTCGGCAGCTACCACAAGGAAATTTCAACGATTTTTATCACACATAACAGCCTTAATACAAAACACTTGTTTTCACAAAATTTCTGTGTTGTAATCCAAATAATTTTCCAGATAACGCCAAATAACTTTTGAAGTTGTATATAGTAGCTACCAGAAAGAGCCAAGCAATTTCAATGATTTTTATCAAACGCATTGGTCCTACAAATATACTTGTTTGTATTTCAATACCACAGCTTTTATAGTTTGTGAGATGAGACAGCTTTTATAGTTTCTGATTTCTTTGGAAGTAGTATGGCAGGTACCGAACCAGTACCACGATCATAACTAATTTAAATAGGATTCTGGCATTTGTTATAATAAACCATTTGTAAAAGTTTTGTGAACTTAGCTCAATTAGTTTTTGAGTTATCATTGGGATGGACGGACGGACAGATAAATCTAAAATAACTCAGAATTCGAAGCTGATCAACTTAAAACTTATTCTTGAGTCTATATTTCAGATTATTATTTCTTAGCGTTATAAATGGTAAGGCATATTTATTATACCCTTAAGTTCCTACGGGTATAATGAAGAACGAGTATAATTAAGAGAGTAAATTTAATGGATGTTAATTTGTAATGGCACTGTAATAGTTTGATGGCAAATATGTAATTGTTAAATAATATTGTAAATGTATATAATTATCTGTCAAAACTCAATATTAATAAATGATAGTGTGAGAAAAATTTTAATAATTTATTAAATATTTATTTAAATTATTGATAGTTTTGTCGTCTATTGTAATTGTAAGAGAATATGTGTAAAGTTTGATTGATATACGGACAATCTTGGATGATAGCGACAAGCACTAATGAACAAATTTTTATCAAGCAATTTACATCAATTAATACTCGCTCTTGTTCATGGTAATAATACTATGTATTTCATTCCTTGTTTAAAATTGAGGAATTGCTGTACTTTGGCTATTTTTTGATTTTTTTTAAATATTCCCACTCAATAATAAAAAAATCAAAAGTTAAGTTATTTTACATAAAAATATTGATAATTATATGTTGTTTATTGGAGATTGGAGCATTATTATAAAAATTTTTTGTGACCCGCGCGTAAACCATCACTTATGCTAAGTATATTTCGTAAATAATATTAAATTAACTAACGAATTTAAAATTCCTTAAGAATATAGGGCGAAAGGGGTACATAAAAAAAATCTATCTATTAATTTTAAACAAATATAATACATCTGTAATTAATAAATCGTTCATCCTGATGTATGCAATTCTTGAAATAATTGAATAATATGAATGAAAGTAATTTTAAAAGTATAGGTAGGTATGTAATTTTTATAGCGTAGCAGTGTTTTCAGTTGTTGTTGCTCAAGTGAAAAGTTCTACATTACAAAGCATTGGTTTGACCCAACTTTACTTTTTTATAACTTTCTTTGATCTAAAAAATATTATCATTTATAGCATTGCTAAATATTTAAGATAATTGCATTAAATTGAGTTAATTGAATTAATTTGTTGTCTGGGTACTTGGTAAAATTTTTGAAGAAATTTATTGAAAAATTGTAACTGATCCTTGTTTTATTGCACTTGAATAGTTTCGTGAAAATAAAAAATCCAGTTTGGAAGATTAAAATATTGCCGAAATTAAATTTCAAGATATAAAAATATCAGCGTGCAAGCAAACCCTGTCAGAGTTGATTTTCTCAGTTCTTAAATGTGGAATTCTTTACAAAATATCTATGTAGATAATACAGGTTGATTCAGAAAGGTATACAACAACATATACCATTGATTCGATGACATGAAAAAATTTAGCTATATAACTAAAAAGAAACTAAACTAGAAAATAAAAATTTTTAATTTATTTCAAACAGAACTTTTCGATTTAAGCTCATAACCCTTAAGTACTTATGTTTTATTTATATTAAGAAGCTCCGCAAGATAACCCTATAGCCAAGATGTGACGCTAAATAAAGTAATTTCATTTTAACTAGTTGGATTTCAAATATTTTGCTCGAATCAAAATCAAGTCAAAGATCGCCGATACATTTGCATATTACTAAATTTCTAAATGCGAATCTGGTAAAATACAAATTAAAAAATTTTTGTTTTAAAAAAGCGAAACAAAACATTCATAAAATTAAGTCAAAAAAAAATTTAAAATAAATTTTAAAAAAGGAATTCAATTAAAAATTTAAAATGAAAGAGTATAAAAAAAGCATTAACATGAAAAATTAATTATTCAATTAAAGAAATTACAAAAGATCGTTAAAGTTCATTATTTGGGAATAAATCAGATCACAATATGACAATTCGTCGTTTACTTTGACAGCACCAAAGTCAAACTATTTGGATTTTTGATGTTTAAGCATTGCAATTTCATGTAATTGAATTTGTACTTATTTGCATAAAAAGCGAATTTAACAAATAATTAAAAACCAAAAATGAAAACTGCGTAATAGCTCAAGGACGTTCGCAATTTACTTTTATATTGGGATAAATTTTCTCCGTAAAAAGAAACCATGATAGTTTAACTTATTTTATTTTGTTTGTTTATCCC